AATTAGCTAATTTGTTAAGCACATAAAAGGTGTGAGATACTATACATGTGCATGGGATTCTTTACTTCAAGCTTGATATTCCTGATGCTTTTCAAATCCCATCAGCAGACTATGTAATTAAAAGAATTTCTTCTGCCATAACATAACCTTGCAGTGATCTGTTTGAATCCACTTCAAAATGTTTGCAACACTGAATTTAATTTGAAGTATTTACAAATATATCAGATGTTTTCTCTGCAGCGTCTACATAGCCTACCCTAATTTTAGTGCTCTGAAAGACAAAATACCTAACATTTTAACAGCAAGGAATAACAGCTTGAAGCTGAAAATCAAAGCCTTGTATACAGCAAAATGAATGGAAGGCGTAATCTTCGAAGTATTGTTGGCTGGACTTTCAGAACTAATGCTGGGATCCATCAAGGTAGAATAATTGGGAATGGATTTCAGTAAGAGAATAAAAATGTACTAACATCATTCAAATGTTTGTTAATCACTGACCAAGGATCATAGAGAGAATCAGGTGAGGAATGCAGACATTGCCACTATATTTTGTGAAGTTACAACAACACTTCCTGGGGCACTGTGACTTCCTGAATAACTGTATATAGACCCCATGCAGAAGATATCATTCTTAAAGATGTTGGGGAGACTTTTATTTAGATTCAGATTGCTTGACATCCTAAACTAATTTTGTGCAGGTTGAATACCAGCTGGAAAACATCAGCATCTTTCATAAAATCACTGGTCTGAGTCCATTTTGCCTGGAATTCAGTGTGAAACCATAAGGAATATAGATGCTACCAGACTGTATGATGTCAGAAATGATATGGAAGAATTTTGGACAGCATAAAATAAAATAAAATATCAGAGTGCACCATGACCTATATCATGAAACAAACAAAAATTAGTAAAAAGCTGCCATTCTTAGTAAATATGAGATGCAAAATGGCGGTTTCCCTTCCTCCTAGTGCTAGCATTTAGGATTATCAGTTTATAATGTGATTCAAGACAGGATAAAAGTCACTTTTTTCATAAAATACAAGTTTAATGTATGGAATGCATTACCAAGATAGCTTGTGTTTAAATGTTTTTAAAATGATATGAGACAAATTAGTAGATAATTCAACCAAGAAAATAAAGCAAAAATAAACACATAGACTAAAACTCCAAAAGCTCCACTTAGCATGGCCAACAAAGATGTAGCAGCTGAAATCCAAAACAACATGAAAAACCTGCCTCTGTTATGCAGCAATTGTGCTTTACTAATAATAAGCTATGATATTAAATAAAACTCTAAGATTTAGAGACAGTATGCTAATTGCCAAGTGTAAGGCAAAAGGTAATAGGCGCCACTACCTTCATTTCCTGCTTGCAGGTTTCCCAAAAACACCTGATTGGCTGTTTTTTAAGGCAGAATGTTGGACAAGATGGCCTTCTATCCAATTTGGGGATGTGAAGGTTTTTCACTGTTTTTGTGTTTCCTACTAGAGAATCCTGCGGATATTTCCTCATTCAATTCTAGACAACAGGTTTTTAAATCATCCTGCATATAAACTGTAGCATATTTTGTGCTATTTTTTAACTAATTGTTTTTTGTTACACATATTTTTCAAAGGTAGGCATGGTTTTTTTTATGCATGCTTCAGTAGTTAGAACACATTGGATGAATTTCTGATGCAAAATGTACTTCATAACATCTTTGATAGTATGATATGGCTATTTCTATAGGGTAAAAGCAACACATTCCTTCTTCATCCTTTATCTGATCCATGGCTCTTTTAATGGCATTATTTCTGTATGTTCCATAAGACTACTCAACCCAAAATCAGTATTTTAAATGTTGTGCCCTTGTTTGTGACATTAGCAAATCAAATATTCTGAGTTTTTAAAGTATTCTATAATGCATGACATTTAAATGCAGAGTACTATTTTTATTATAATACAAAGTATAATGATAGACCAAACATATGGGAAGTGAAAATTTATCTTTAGTTGATGCTTCTCAGCAGGTACTGAATAAAAATTGATAGAGTATCTGATTTATAACCTCAAGCTAGGCCAAAATGAACACATTTATTTAAAAAGCACCTTTCACACTTGGAAGAAACCTTTGACAACATTACTTATTAAAAAAAATCTAGTGTCATCACAAATTCATTTATGACTGGAATAGCAGTTAGCAGCTGACACCACTAATGTGTTCAGAGAATCTTTCTTTCCCCATGTTTGTCCATCTCATCTTTCATCTATGTCTCGCCAAATGAACTGTTTTCATAGCATCATAATTACACTGTCTTGTCTCTTGTAAAGTGCTGTGATCTCATGACAGGAAGACAAATCAAAAAGAGATGAACTATGTGAGAGGAAGGCTTCAGAAACAATGCAGGTCAGCCATCTTTCATAATCAGGGGAAATAACTGGTTGTATTGAAGCATAGTGCAGTTGTAGTTCTGGCAAATGCCACATAATAAGCACTGACAATTGCTACTGCTTTATTTATCTGAAGAATCCTTCTCCTTCTCTTTCACTTAAAAAAAGCCCAGTTTAATATATAAGTGGAGCTTGAAGACTTGTAAGTGTAGTTTGAAGACTTGAAAAATACATCATGGATGCAATTTTATTTTTCCTCTTTATTGTTTAGCCAGTTTAAGTAGGTTTTCATCTATATCAGTCAGAAAGAGGTCAGAACAATGTCCATTGCTCTGCAGCCTACAGGTGTAAAAGCAAAATAAATAAAAAGCTGCATAGATACAGCTATTCCTATCTCAATGTCTGTGAATATATGGATACAAATTATATTGTCTAGAAAACTGGATATTTTTCATAGGTTTTTAAAACAAGTAAATTCCCAGTGTCTCTGTCAGGACTCAGAAACCTTAAACAATGCCAGACACAAAATAAAGGTTCAAACACAGCTTTATTGCATACAAATGGACCTACAGAGCACTTAACTTCAGTGCTAAGGGTCTCAGGAGTGATTTGGCATCAAAAAGAAGTCATTACAAGAAACAAAAATATAATCCAGATTATAATGCTGCCTTATAATCCAGGTTAAACAAAAACTGAAGCAAACTGCTTGAAAATCAAAATGGTATCACAACATAGTCACAGAAGCAGGAAAAACGTGGTTTCAAAACTAAGAAATGTTTCAGTCACAAAGATATTAAAGTTCAAAGTCCAGAAAAGCCAAAAGGAAACCGGTCCGTGGTCAATCCGTTGGTAAACAAGGCTGGAATGCTGGAATCATGAGGAAACAGGAGTACAGGAACACACGAAGCTGTAACCCAAGGTTGAAAGTTGGCAGCACAAAGAATTATGTCCTATAAAGACACTTTGCCTTCTGCGAAGTATAGTCCAAACTGAACCCCCTTTTATCTCAAAGTTCTTCCTCAGAGCTTGATGAGCTCCCCACCCTTTCGTCATCACTCTCAGCTGCCCCCAAACCTGCAGCTGAGTGCCCATCCCTCCACCTCTGCCAACGATTGTCAGGGTTCAGATCCTGCCAAGAATCCCCTGGCTGCCAATCCCCAGTGAACCCCTCAAACTCCTCACTAGAGGTGGGTTGGTTACAGATGTCCCTTATGTTTTGCACACGGGTCCAATCTAATTCCTCCTCTTCTTCCATATCACTCCCAGACCCAGAACTCCTTTCAAACCCAAGGAAATCTTCATCCTCTGTTGGTGCACAAAGTATTTCCCGAATACGCTTCCTTTGTAATTCCCCCTCAGACTCTGGCTCACGAGCAGCCCTTTTTACACCTCTGCTTACTTCCCCATCCCCCATCTCACAATCGGAGAAGCCTGGAAACGTGTCAGTATCACTTGGAGCCATAATGATTTCCCTAATGCGCTGACGCTGCGGGGAGGGAGGGTGAGCTACGGGGAGCCGGGAGCGAAGTCCAGTCAGAGCATGTATGCTAAGTGGGAGAAGGGCCGCCCGAAGAGAGGGGGGGGGGGCGAGGGGGGTGTGCGGGGGCGCGGCCCACTTGTTGTCTCACAAC